GGTATGTTTCGGGGTGTGTTTCGGGGAGTGTTTCGCACTGCCACGACATAGAAGTAGTAGTAGTAGTAGTAGTAGTAGTAGTAGTAGCAGTAGTAGTAGTAGTAGTAGTGGTAGCTGGTAAGAACAATGATGGAAAGCAGTTTGCTCTAATTCGTGTTTTGTTGTTGGTATAGGACTAAGCACTAACTGAACAAGCTGTGAACAGATGACTTCGTACTTCATTGACAGAAAGTAAATCAGCGCTCCCAAGAATCTGGCAAATGCAGTCTGATAGATTGCACCAATGGGTTTGATCAAGCTGCCAGTCCAACTGTTGCTACGAGTTGCGAACCCTCAGACATGCTCGAACTGAGACTAGCAACGTGGTCGCAAAGGGTATGGGCTGCAGCCCATCTCAGTCTTCATCCTCCACGCCTGGGCAGCACAAAACACTACTTTTTGAGTTTCGGTGCACCACTGGCTGTATTGAGTTCTGAGGATGAAACGGTCGAGAACAGGAATCCACCTCGATGGTGCCCTGACGGGGATTTCCTGAGCTAAGAAGCAGACATTCAAGCGACATGCGAACCGAAAGAAGGAATTCTGCATCCTTAAAGTGTACCTCGGTGGCCCCATCAAGCAAGCCCCTCATGTCAGGATCTCTCAGGACCCCGCGTTTCCAGTCGACTTGTTGTATCTCACCTTCTTCACGATCTCTGTGCCGTCCTGCGAACAGTCCGGGAGAGGCAGGGTGAAGAAAGACGGTTGCATTGAGATGAACTAGATCAAGTACGCTTTCTGTAGCCACAGGGAGCCATCTGTGAATCTACCATGTCACGAACAGGGTCCTTGAAGGTTTTCTTCTTGAATCGCACGCCCAGCAGGCCAGCTACTTCCTCGTCTTCGTCATAGTGCATGACCTGATTAAGCAGGGAGGGACTGGCCCACATCCTGGCATCAACGAAGTGTGAGCAGATGCTCGGAACAGTGCCCATGACGAGTGCATAGGAGCTTCCACCTGCACGGAAGACTCAGTGCAGAGTGGCTCAAGTCATACACGGTAAGGCTTCAGCACTAGCCTCCTTCAGCACTAGCCTCATGCTAATTGGCTGTTTCATGGCTCTACGTCGTCAGATGCTACGTGCAAGTGGTGCAGCAAACAAAACGAAGCAGAACGAAGACCCCACAGGTTTGGGGGTCGGAACTAAAAACAAGTGACTCGACCTTGCTTCATAAAGTAGAATACAACGGAAAGCCTGTAAGCGCATGAAACTCAGCTCCACCTGTACTCGCTGGCCCACTTCATCTTCGCGCTGTGGCCTGCAAGTCATGTACTGCTGCAGATAAACATGGAGCCAAGAGGTTGGGAGATCAAAATCTGCTCGGCATCCGAATGCTCAGGTCCGTGCATACGCAACACAGTCATTCCTTCCTTCCTTCTTTCGTTCGCTCGCGCTTGCATGCCTTCGCGCGTTCGTTCGTGGAGTTCGTTCGCTTCATTCATTTAGTCATTCCTTCCTTCCTTCGTTCATGCATTCCTGCACTCATTCAGTCACTCCTTCAAAATACATACATACATACATACATACATACATACATACAGGCATACATACAGACATACATACAGACAGACAGACATGCATACATACATGTACGCCATGTGCAGTAGACAATCAGACAAATAGATCAGATTCATTAGATAGATAGATAGATAGATAGATAGCTAGCTAGCTAGCTAGCTAGATAGATAGATAGATAGATAAGTAGATAGGTAGAAAGGTAGATAAGTAAATAGGTAGATAGGTGGATAGATACATAAACAGATAGATAAATAGATAAATAGATTGCTAGCTAGCTAGGTAGCTGCTAGCTAGCCAGGTAGATAGATAGATAGATAGATCAATAGAAAGATGGATACCTATATGACCTATATACGCACGAACATACATAGATACATAAACAGATGCAGACATAGATACATACATGCATACATACATACATACACACTTGCTTGCTTGCTTGCTTGCTTGCTCGGCGTTTGGGGTAAGGGGTTCCCCCCTATACCCCTGCGCACTCGCGCTACGCCACTGTCCAGTGTCCTGTGGTCGGCGTGAGACGTTTGAAGAGTGACGGCACACACTCGCGCGAGCACACGCACCCATGCGTGCACTGCATGCGGAGATAGACTGCAAATGCAGAAGTGCTTGCATGCTCACAAGACTGGCAGGCCCAGCCTGACATGCTTGATGCAATAGTTCACGCCCAGACAGAGGATCTTGTTCCACTTGGGGTAGATTCTCAGCACTTCGGTCACCTGCGAGCATCTCGCGCTGCCTGAAACAGCGCTTACTCACTCGGGTAGTCTGCGTTCTGGCCTTACCCGCGTCCTTGCCCTTCATGACCTGGACGGTGTCGCCCGGCATGACCTTAGCAACGTCACGGCAATGACGAACTCAGAATCAAAAAATTACCCAATGTAGAGGCCGCCTGCCTGCTGAGTTCAATTGCAGAGTTTTCTGTGCGGGAGTGTGTTGCAAGTGCTGTATGTCCTGGATCCCGTTTTGCTTGCGCCAGGAGCTATGGCTACAGCAAGTTGCAGCATTAGCTGCAGTACCTGCAGTTGTGGCAGATCACGGCAGTCGGAAAATCCGAAGATCATGTAGACTAGGCTGCCGAATAGCGGCTGGGAGCTCTTGCGAGTTTGCAGAATTTGGGAATTGAGAGCCGCCGTCGCAACCATGATAACCAAGTAGCAGCGATATCCTTCTGACAGTTGCAACGATTCTCACGATTCGTGGCAAGGGGAACCGGGTTGGCCGGCTTCTGTAAACAGCATGGCTCAGCTGCAGCTGTGGGGTGAGAGGGTTGGCCAGCACCATCGCCCCATGCGAACATGTCTCGTCTGCAGCACAAAAGCCTGCAAATAACTCATATCTGCAGACGTAGCAGACAAGGAACAGCTGCATAGCCATAAGCTTTGGGCGTAGTAATAGTAGCTCCAACAATAGCAACCGCAACAGCAAGGACAAAAGCAAGGTTGCACTTTAATGCGTACTGACCCACATCGCACAAAACGTAGCTGGCAGCACTGGCGCCAGCAAGATCGACCCTCCTAAGCAGAGATATGATCCCAGCAGCCATCCAACAACACTCATCGAATCTAAAGAGGCTTCGGCTTAGAAGAGTAATGAAGACAGGGTGGCAAAGAACGAAAACAAATGCCATCATGATAGTAGCACTAATGTTCCTAAGGATCTAAGCAAAAAACAAGAATACCTCAACGATAAAACGCGGGCGAAGACCCCACTGGTCCACTGGACGAATTGCTGGGGCCCAGTCGTGCATTTTGTACCGCACAGGCTTGTTTGTCTTGGGGTTAACCCGAACAGCAAGCTGCCTGCCTTTGTAGATGGGCCTGGCTCGGCAAAGCAGCCACGAAGGAACTAGCAATCAAAGGTCTAGCCCTGTCAAGTCTAGAAAGCACCTCATCCTTCCTGCCCGCATCCGTCGCTTGTTCTTGGGGCTGCCGGCCTTAGTCTCTTTACTTAGTCTGCAGCGACGCACACAAACCAGGAGTCAAGACTCGAAACGATACGTTGGCTGGCTGGGCTGCCAAGCCGGGGTGGTGGGTCTGGCTGACCTGCACCCAGGCAGGCGTAAAGCTGCGTGTGTTGGCGAAAGCAGCCCCGGAAGAGCTGCCTGGCATGCATGACCACCCGCGGGCCAGGTGACTGGCTCTTGCTAGGTGCATGACGCCTCCAGGAAGTTTGGTCGACTATCAATCCGCAGGGAAAAACATGATTCTTAGTCATCCCATCCTGGTCTGCGAAAGCACCACGGCAGCAGCAGCCAGCGACCCCGCCCAGGCAAAGGAGCGGACGCTGAGAACCGGAGCCTCGTAGGAAGCCTTCAGCCGACAGAGGCAATAGCATGCTGCGAGCGGGCACGGGCGGTCGGCATGGGAATTCGCTGCATAGACTCGGTCTTCGGCTCCAGTTCTTTGCAGCGGTGCTTGACTTGGCTGAACAGCTGGCATACCTGCAACGAGCGTGGCCCCAATCGCAAACCTATAGCGAATCCTGGGGCGGAAGCCTCGGCTAGATATCTGGACTCCCGTGGACACGAAGCTTGTCTCAGACCTTCACGTTCCGCCACTTCCACAGGAGGCTGAGGCTGTGACAAAAAAATACCAAAAACCGAGAAGAACCCGCCTCCCAAACGTCCAGGACCAGCCTTAGCTCCAATTCGGCTATGGCCGTGGATCATACTGTTCTTATTTTTGACTATAAGGAAGGTATTATTGCATCATGAGTACTACTATTGCTGTTGTTATCAATTTCTTTTTGTTGTTTATTACTGCAGCAGCAAGAGCTACGACAGAAGACTCTGGGGACCCTTGCACAGCACGGCAGCGAGGAAGGCCTGAGCAGGCAGAGAGGATGCTTGCCACTTTTTTCTGGCGGGATCGAGACCCGGGCTGCTCCTGGCTGCCTGCCAAAATATCGAGACTGATAACAAGAATACTAACAGTAATAATTACGATAATAATGGCAATAATACTGGGAATAATGGTTACGAGAAGGCTATCGAGGGCATTCCACTAGAAGCAAGCACAAGTCGAGGTCTGCACCTCGACTTTCCCGGCATCGATCCTCGACACGGCAGGTTCTCTGAGTCTCTGAGGGTGAGTTGCGCGTTCGGCTACTATGCACGACGGGAACAATCAGTAATCCCCGCACGAGCCTGTCAGGGGCATGGCGGCTGAAGCCCGCCCCCAAATGCCAACTGGCATGCTCTTAGCTGCGAGAAATCGCAGCTGCGGAATATGCCGCCTTACACACCTGTCTGAAGACCATGGCGACGTGGCAACAGCAGATCACTGAAAGATGTTGTAAGTGCGAAAAGCTTGGTTCCACCAAGGGAAACTAAAATCAAACCCTCGCTAAACCACGTGATGAGCATGCTTGGCATGCTCTTCTCGGGCATTCTCTTCTCGGAATCTCACCGCCTGGGCTGGTATGATTTCCTTGCCGAGTTTCCGTAGGGTTTTGGAGCTTAGGGTTTAGCGGCTAACGGGCTGGAAGGAGCGAGGGCTCGTGAGAAACGCCCGTGATGCCACGGCAAAGTGCCGTCGAGGCATTCACTATCAACCTAGATGCTTGATACGGCTAGACCCTAGCTAGGCACGTCAAGACTCCGTTTCGTGCAATTCTGCAGCGTGACAGAGCCACGACCGTGCCTTTCCATGCAAAACATATACTAAGACCATCCTGCACACCATGTGCCACATGGCAAAATCCAGCATGGCAGCGAGCGAATGCGAGTGCGACCAGCTCATCAAGCTTGTCTGCAATCCCCCAGCAATCCATTCGAATACGATGGGTTATTTCGCCAGTGATGGTTCTTCGCTGGCTGCAGGGATCGGAGACAACGGCGAAGTGCATCTCGCACGCAATGCGCAGTCAACATCTGCGTTGTCCGCCTGGCCACGCAGAGCTGCGCACAAAACCCTGAGTCCAAACACAACCTGCACGAGTTTGCTGCACCCTCAGCAGATGACCTCCGCATCCTGACCTGAAAGGTCACAGCGTCTCTGAATGGACCACTCCGGGTGCAGTCCTTGGATGAGCTTAGGAACTACCCACGCACGAATGTGGAGCAAAACTGTATTCTGGCAAGGGTGCCCAGCGAACAGGATACAGTGTGCCCGACCCTCAACTCTCAACACCAATTGCACCTGTGGCAAGTGGCCAGACACGCTCCTCGAGCAGAAACCATCCTTTGCTTTCCTGCAGTGCTTTGAACCTTGGCTCCACTTTGCGAGTCTATGATGGATGACGCGCGGGCATGTTTGCAGGACAGGTCCGCTTCTAGCTCTCAAGCATTCCCATTTGGATTCCTTTCAAGCACCAATCGTAAAGCGCCCCTTGGCTGCGACGTGACCGGAAAGTCACGAATTCACTGCACTACAACAAAGCCTTGGAGGCTGACTTCGAGCTCCAAGGACAGGAGGCAAGGGACTAATTTGATGCTACATAAGGCAAGGCCAGCTTCTGTGGCCCATCTCGAGAATGATTTGATCGCTCCTTGCATCGCACCCCTTCTCGTGCCCAAGTTTCGGGGAGATCCTCGAAACTCAAACTAAGCGCCAGCAGCTGGGAACAGACCACTTGCCTGAGATCATGGTTTGCTTTGCATGAGTGAAGCCATCTCGAGTCGCTGTTAATTTCGGCTGCAAGCTTCTCAAATGTCTCACAGCTTCTCGTGCTTCCAGCTCCACCCCTCAAGATTTCGATCAAGTAGCTCTGCCGAACAGGCCGTTTTGCTTGTTTGCCTCACGAGCCAACGCAGACAGTTAACAAGATTAAATTGATGTGCCGCCGAACAGCAGGTCTATCTTGGCAGCTGTCTCCATTGTGGGTGATGTCTGGCTTGCGGGTGCGCATGGGTGCGTGCGTGTATAGGTGTGGGGATGCAGGGATGTGGGGATGTGGGGGTGTGCGGTGTGGATATGTGTGTGCACGGGTCGGATGCGGCTGTGGTCGTGCGCACGTGGGTGCGTACATCTCTCCTCTCTCTTTGACCAGCCGCCTTTGCAGTGGCACGGAGGTACTCTTCAAGCTGCCCCACCCGCTGCCGGAAAGCCGGGAAGAAGCCTGAGCAGCTTGCTCGCCCTTGCAGATGTTAGACTCTGTGTCTATGATACTGCTGGTGATGATGACGATGATCATCATCATCATCATGAGGCAGAGGAAGAGGAGGACGAGGAGGAGGAGGAGGAGGAGGACACTTGATGGACTTGCAAGCACAAGTCTGACTGTGAAGTTAGGGCGACTCTGACGCGTCGTGCCCACGGAGTCTACTTTGACTCACCAGGAAGCTATCGGCTTGCTTCTGGACCTTGCCGAAGGTCGCGAAGACCTGGCCGCATGGCTCCAGAAACTTGGGGCTTCGAAGTCTTAAGCATCACCAGCCTCGGCCGGAATCCCTTTGCCCTGCTTGTCGAGCCATGTATTGCAACTTCTCTCGACATCTCCCGTGACGCTGCCGACCAAGGCCATCAGACGTGATGCGCGCGTGAAGTAGAGGCCTTCCGCAGCAGACAAACTTCATAGGCCACCGAAGATAGCAAGCTAGAATATTCAGCTTTGGATGTACAGGAGGACTTGATTTCACGTAATTCCTTGACCAGACCTTCGAACGGAATGTCCTGCCTGCCAGGAGCTCAACCCAAGCCAAAATCAGCTGGACCAGCCATGGCCTAGGGCTACCAAGTCGAAAGAAGATCAGGGCACGAGAGGCGGAACTGTGCCGTGGGGCAAGAAGACCACCAAAGCTTTGCTCGCCAAGGGTAGCGCTGCGACCTTTGCTGAAAAACTTGCCATGTACTTGCTTTACTTGCCCCTTGACAGTGCGGCTCCACTCCAGAAGCTAAATCCGACATCGCAGTTTCGCGCCCTCAAGGTGGGTTGGGAATCTCCCTCGACGCCAAGAGACACACAAAAGATCGGCTGACAGAAATCCACACTCGTAATCGAGGTGAGAAGTTGGTGGAGCCAGGCAAGGGGATTGTCTAAGACTCCGGTCAAGCTGTATGAACATGGACTTTCCAAGCCAGGACGATGTGCAGCCGCACTCACTGCGTCTATGCTTCAGCCTCTCTTGTTAACTCGGCAAGGTGGGAGACTGGAAAGAGTTGCAATGGCTTCTTGTTCCGGCAGCATTACTGTGCTGCACAAGCTGCTTCTGGCGTCTGTGCTTCACCATCCTCCCGCCAGAACAGCACTTGCGAATAAGTGTTCATGACAATTCACACTGCAAGTCTCCTGCATGGAAAAGCTCACGTCCGGGAACCGCTCCTGGAGAATCCAAGAGAGGCTAGAGCTCCGCTTCGAGGGCCTGGGCCTCCAAGTTCTTGAGCATGGGGTCGCCTTGGAGACGACGCCCGATCGGGCCCAGGTCCCAATCCTCGGCATGCCCATGGTGAGATTCTGCCGTGCTTGCTTCGCCACTGCTTCAAGCTTCAAGAGATTTGTCGGGCGCCGGAGGTGCCGGCGCTGCCGATGCCAGGGCAGAGGCCAAGTCCGTTGCAAGGATCTGAGGACAGACAGGCCGGAACGCCGGAGCTATCGCATGCTATCGCTCGGTAAGCTACGGGCCTCGGAGCAGATGAGGCCTGAGAGGTTCACTACCAAAAAGAAGATCAGCGGCACCTGCACCTGCAGACCGGTTCAAAGGGGACCCCACCGTGCTTCGGCAACCGCAAAGGAAGGGGACGCGGGACGCCTTAAGATGCCCACTATGCGGCCCAGGAACCAACCAGCAGTCGAAGGCAGATCTTCGCGTTACGAGGCTGCCAAGACGGTGCTTCCTGATTGCGCGGTGTGCGGAGAACACATCTCGTTTGTGGGTAGTTGAGGAACAATCGAGTCTACGCACTGGCATGAGCAAGCGTCTGAATTTGCTCTTCCACCTGGTCGGGCAAGGCTGCCTGGTCAGTGGTCAGACTTCTGCAATCTCTGGAGACTCTAGAAGGCCTGGCACACGGAAACATGCACGCCTTGGCTTCCTCCAAGAAGTTGCTGATCCGTCCGGCGCCTGTGCTCATGCGTTGCTAATGTCGCAGACCAGCGCCCTCTCATCCCCTTCTCCGAGCACGCTGCACTCCACGATCGGCTCGCGCACGCCACGGGTAGATGGCACGTCAAAGTCCGGCACTCTTTCCTTCACTTCTTTCTCGTATTCCTGGCTCAGCTTGCAACAGATGCCGGCACAGCAGCCAATCTGATCAGTCACATCCTGCATGCGCTTGACCATCATGGCTTGCTCCATCTCCACCATGTCCACAGCCGACTCTAGCTTTTCGATCGGTTCGACCAGCTTGCTGCCGTAACAGTCAACTGGTTCGTCCAGTGATGAAACGAGCCTGCCTTGCAGGAGGGAGAATGATGAAACCGTCACGAAACTTAACGGCACTTACTGCCAACCCAGCTGCCGACAGCACCGTTCAGCGCAAGGAAGATCCAAGATAATTGATGCGTCCATGCATATGCTAGAGCAACGAAGTGAAGAAGCCTCAGTCATGTAAGTGCGTTTCGTGATGCCGCGTGTCTGCTGCAGAAGCTTCTGAACGGCATGGCGATCACTCTTGTGTGCATATCGCGGGCATGGAGCAAGCTGAAGATTGCTGCCATCAGGCTGGCGACATTTGTGTCGATGGGGCCTTCACAATGCCGGCGCCAGGAGTTATTACTGTAAACGCCGCTGACCCTCCACTTCCCTGATTGCAGTCGGCGCACTGATTGACAACAGGCCGGTGATGACGAAGGCCATCACTGCAGCGGCTGCCGTATGCCGAATCATGGCATTTCGGGAGGGATCGGCCTCTATCTCCAGGCCCTGCCAGGGCGGCCCCTGCATCTGAAGTGCTTGTTACCAGTAGGTGCCAGCGCCTGTGTTCCACAACTTGCGGCCTCGAGAGACAGTGTGGCGTCTCCTTGGCACAAAGGGAAGGTACCAAATCGACATTGGCAGGAAAACTCGGCATGGGGCCGGCGACCACTCCATCCTCAAGGTCGACCATGCTCCCACTTCTCTCGTCTGTTGCTTGCCTCTGTACACACAAGCTTGCTTGGTTTGGCTATTTCACATCGTGCGCCCCAGAGTGTGGCCTCTCATTCATGGAAAGAAGGCTGCTCGTCCGTGCTTGCCGCATCTGAAGGTATCTCAGATGAGTCGCAAGCATGCAGCACCACGATATTAGCCTCCCACAAGTACTCGCAGGGTCCCGGCAGATCTTCGCCCCGGAGGTTGCGCACCTCGTTCAGAACTTCCTTCATCAGGCAGGCAAGCCGGCCGAAAGCGATAGCGAGACCCAAGTGGGGACAAGCTTGATCTGATCAGAGCGCGATACGAGATTCTAGAAAGAACGCGTGCACACCAAAAGCCCCGCAACTTGGCCCCCGTCCTGAAATCGCGCAGGCTCCAATCGCGGCAGGCGAAAGCGCACCTTTGGCGCGTTGGCGTGGAGGAGCTCGTTCATTCTCGCTTCCTTGGAGCTCGACTCCACATTACCGAAAACGAAGGCCGGACATGGCGGATAGGATAGGCGCTTAGGCGACCACTGCCAGACAGGCAGTAACTTGAAGAGGTCTAGACTGGATCTTGAAGGGGGCCTGGGGCCGGGGCCCCTGAGCTTTAGCACCCTTGGCCACATTGATCGTGCTGTGGAGTGCTTGTCAAAAGAGACTGACAGCGAGCTCGAGTCAAATGAAGGTCGGCCCGACATCTTAGCGTGACGTAGAGTCAGAGCTGGAAAGCTATCCTTTGCGGGTGAGCGTCGGCTTCGCCCAGCTTCGGCTGGCAAACCTGGAAAAGCTCAGCTTTGAATCCATCTTGCCGAAGCCCCCGCAAACGAACTCCAAAACACAATACCTGTAGCACTCATTCCGTCCCACAGCAAGGTTGCTTTGGACAAGGGAGGGATTGTTTTCTAATGCCGCAGGCTTCAACATACCCCAACCACAAGCCGCCCGGATATTCCGATGATGTTAGCACCTCGATTTCCTCCAGTGCACGTGCAAGCCGCGCATCAGACTGGCGATTCCTGTTCGGTGCAGCGAACCACTCCACAGCAGAGCACACATCACCGCGATCACTGCGTGCCTCACCACCAGGCACTTCGCTCCAGCGTCGGCCCGGCACAGAGACGGCACGGCTTTGAGGAGCGTGCTCATGGCTCCAGGATCCAGGGCTCCGGCTAAGATCGAAGAGATCAGTTCCACTTGTGTCTGGTGCTGTGAGGCTATATGCAAAAGGAGGACCGAGCCCAAAAACGGCCTTCGCTGCACAATGACATCAACACATGCATTCACTTCTGCATCCATGGCAGTCAACAGGCACCCAACATCACCCAACGGAGGAAACCTCTAAGCAGCCACCTTCCCACCACAGGATCTTAAAATCACGGTCAGTCAGAATTTCGGCCCCCCCACATCTCCGAAGCGTGAACTTCGTCGCCCACCTTGGAAAGATCGTTTGGGGCACAGAGCGAAGCGGCTCTCCTCTTGCCGCAGCCATCTATCTGAATCTATCTCAGGAGACCGCATTCTTGTCTGGATGCCATCCTCTGCGGCAAGCAAAAACTGCTCGCCAAAACTCTTTGGTTTCGACGTCGGGCATCTGTCTTTGCCATATGTGGACAAGAAGCGTAGCTGCAGCTCTTTGAAGAGTTTCTTCCTGTCTGCACTTGCAGTCACACCTCACAACGCTCGTTCTTCATGGAAGACGCATAGTCAACCTGTGAGGAACTCCGAGGACGTCACGTCTCACATGTCGGAGGTGCTGGACCTGAGGTCACCATGTGCGGCATGTAACTTCTCCTAGCTCACAACGTTTCACCAAACACGGGGTTCCACATTTTCTCACGACAGCTGCGGCGATTTCAAGCTCCACTACCTTGACTCATGCTGGTGGTCGTGGCGGTGGTGGTGAAGATGATGATGAAGCAGATGAAGATGAAGATGAAGATGAAGAAGATGATGATGATGACGATGACGATGATGATGGTGATGGTGATGGTGGTGGTGGCCGTCGTGGTTGTTGTGGTGATGATTCATGATGATTCGAGAATGCATCCACGACCGGGGCAGCAGCAGCTGCTGCTACACAATGCTTCGTCTCCAGATCCTCGCAGTCCTGTGGCCTTCTAGAATCTTCGGGTCGGCAGAATTCCGTGAGCGGCTTAGCATCTCAAGCCTTCACCATGTTTCAGATCCACATCACCATGTCTTCAACGGGCCAATCCGCTCCGCGCTGGACTGCGGCACGCTTCCTCTTGTGAACGTCCTTCCGGTTGTTGTCTCTACCCCGTTGCATCTTTCAGTGGAAGCGTCGATGCAAAGACCCTCTGCATAAAGTCGCCTAGGTATCAGATTGGCATAGACTTAAGTTTCGCATTCTGCTCTCTTCGCGCCGAGGAGCTTGTAGGGGCCCCCTGGTAGCAGTGGAAGGCAAAGCCGAGCGAGACCAGCCGATCATAGAACCCGAGGTGTGCCAAATGGTAAACAGGTGTCCCCCATCCACTGCGCAAGTCGCCTCCTGAGCGGGTTTACTTGAGTGCAGGACGAAACCCCTCCGATAGGACTTAGGGAAGTCCTTGGTCAGCGGTATCCAGAAGGCAGCAGGCAGCCTCGATCATCATGGCGGCGGTGCCCTCGTACCTGAACGATTTCAGGGCTTAGCGAGCACTCTTTGAGACACTCAAGCGGCCGCGGAGCCGGTCCCCGACACCACCGGGCCCTGGGCAAAAGGTCGCGTCTAGTCAGCGACTTCAGTGAGGGGATCACTGGCCTGCGTTCATGACGATGTGCATCTTCGCCTCATTGGCCGCATCGGCGACGCCCACGAAAACCTGCTCAGCAGAACTTACGTGCCAAGAGCATAGCAAAGCTCGACAGTGGTCGGCACTGAAAACAGGGAAAGCCGATTGAAGCTCTTGCATGCTGAACTCGAACAAGGCCTTGGTGACGAAAGTCTCCTGTCGAATTCTCTCCTCCCAGAGCAGAGTTGTGTCAGCTTCCGTGCTCGAGTGAAGATGCTCTCTGGTGACAGGTTTGCAGAAAGGCCTTGGGGCCCCAGCCAGGGGGTGGAATCTTCTTCGCTTCCACCATGAGGCTGTGACCAAGACCGCCACCCAGGCTGACACCGATCCTAAAGCGAAAACAGCCCAGCAAACATACCAAATGCTCCCCATCGGGTCTCGTCTACGTCCTCCAAGACTATTGGAAGCGTGGAGTGGAGTGCAGCGAAGCCTCCCCGAGAGTCGAGAGGCTTGAGCACTTTCCTGCTTCGTCATCCTGAGCGCATCGGGCGGGCACCGAGTAAGCGCAAGCGGCGACCGAGGGCCACACTCCTCTGGCCTTTTGTCCACAACCAGAAACCAATCCTGAACCAAGCAGACAAGTTGGGCCCCTTCTTTGCCCGACATGCCAACTGTCCTTGAAAAGGAAGTTGTCGCCATATGGCTCCACTGCATCCATTAAGCCGCAAGTCCCACGGACCTTCGCAACACTGGCTCATCGATCCCGCAAAGACCTGCCAACTGCTGAATCCGACTCCTGCCATCTCCTGCCGCCAAGGTGCCACCTGGCGGTCCACGTTCAATCCAGGATATGCGATCATGAACGAGTTCCTAAGCCATCTCAGCTCTTGGACGAAGGCCGCCTTTCGATCCATGCATGAAACCAAGGGTCTCATCTTTGTGGGGCGGATCCGCACGATCTTCCGTCCGCACACCACAGGACCGCATCCCCCCAAGCACAAAGGGAGCTCCGGCTGCATGCAAGTCCTGGGAGCTCCGGAGAACTCTGACCGGCGGCAGCAACAGCAAAAGACGGCAAAAGCATGTTAATGTTGCAAGTCCTGTCCTTGAATGTAGTCTTCGTTCCAGTGAGGAGACTCGTGCCACTCATCACAAACCCTGGGCAACTCGGCTCCCCTCATGATCTCGAGCAGCTGAGATTCTCCAGCCTTGGGTATGTGTGTAAACATCCACCTTCTTGGTGTCAGCGCCCGTCTCTTCCTTGATTCCACGCACTAGCCGCCAGACCTGAAATTGCTTTTGCATGTCAGACTTCGAAGACTCAGCCTGGGGGTTGCCATCGTAAGTGACTTCCGTGCAGCCGCGAGTCTCCGAAGTCTGTAGGGACAGAGACGTAGCCAGCATGAAGAAGGAGACACACTCCAGCTGCCTCTCGACAGCTGCTGGCCACCTTTCTGCTACACCGGAGATCCTGAACAATGGGCCTTGGCCGCGCCATGCAATTTGTCCTGAGCATGTTCTGCCCGCAAGACGCCCGATGAAGCTCTCAAGCTAACACCATTTATAAGGGCGGTCGCTTGAAAAGCATGCTCTGCCTGAGCCGCCAACTTTGACCTCCTTCGAGAAGAGTATATCGCCCGTGTTATCCTTACGACACGGAGCAAAGGCACCTTCTGCAAGCAGAATCTGACTGGAATGCATCCGGAAGTCTATCAAGTGCGTGCCAGTCTTCACACAGGCCTGCGTGACCAAAGCTTAATATCGAAATCATACTGCACCGGGGCCCGACGACGGTGCTTAAACCGAAAGCAGGGCAGTAAGATGATGTAAACCCCACCTCAGCCACAGCCACCCCGATGTCGTGGGACGGTCCAGTGCAGTCCAAGACCACACGGGCAGTCCCCACCACGCGCTCCAAGTCCTTCAGCTGCTCTCAGCAGGCAGGAGAAGGGCTATTCCTCGCCACTGATGCGGGCTGCAACAAAGCGTCGTGGCGACTCTCGACACGAAGGGAGCCCTGGAAGCAGCCGTGCCCAAACTTGTGCTCCAGCATCCTTTCTGGACGCAGTGATTGCACACCCGCGACACAAGACACTGGGCACTGCGAGATCTGAGCCACGAGGCTGCAGGCGGCGTCCGCTGCGGCCGGCGATGGCCCAAGAGCGACCTCTCGTCTCTCGCCGCATCACCTCGTCTGCTGCAATGCAATCTTTGACATTTGCTCATTTACACCAACTTACAGGCGTACTCCACCATTTTCTGCTTCGGTACCATGCAGGCCAGTGTGCCCGTGATACCTCACGTGCAACGAAGAAAATCTCATGAGACCTCATTACATATACATTTGCATGGGCATCTTCGAGCTCGACTAGGCACCTGTTGCTCCCAAGATGAGGATGTCAGTTCTTGGGTCTGGCAGTCCCGCCGGGACGGAGGACTGTGCCTGCACATCCGGGTCCGGTTCGATTTCTCCGAAAATCTCGTCCCAATCTGACCTTGGCCAGTCTCTTCTGCTTGCTTCAGGCTGGCCCCTGCACGTGCTACAGCTGGCAACACCTGACCTGAGGTCGGGGCCACCAGGCAACATTGACGGTCGGGGTCAAGAAGCCGTGCGCTTCGTTGAAAGCTCGACGTTGGTACGGATCGAGCAAGAAGTCTTTCGCTTGCGTCAGCTGCAGGAACCTGCATAGGGCCGAGCTCAGCAGCCCGACGACACCGTTCAGTCTATGTGAGACCTGTGTTTGCCAGACGACCCGGAAATTGCGGAGATGAGAATCACATGGTGAGTGTCGACCACAAGTGCCCATGGTGAACGCGTACGGAGCACATGAATATTGCATCAACCGGTTGCCAGGATATGCACGCACAGTCACAAATCCCTGCGCATCCTTGCACACTTCCCTGCAGGCAGTCCCTGGCACACACATCCGCGAATGCCCTCGTAACCCTGTTGTAAATTATAGTTCCTGTTCTTCGTGAAGCCTTTCACAGAGAGAGAGAGAGAGAGAGAGAGAGAGATGGGTAGAAAGAGATGCAGATCGGAAAAGAACACTTTCCGACAGGAGGGGAAGTCTGAACTCCTGTGCTCGGTGTGCCGTACTGTTGCACCCGGTGAAGTCGTTGAGCTGCTGGCAATCCCCAATCCCGCCTGCTTGCCGCGGCCACATCTCCTGCAATCCGTAAAAAAAAGTAGAGTGTCATCACGGCACAGCAAGGCCTCTCCTGGACAGCGATCAGGATGCACCCTGAGTGAGAGCTTGCGGAAGGTCGACTTGATGGTGGCATCGGTTGCATCGTACGGAATGCCGAACAGCTGATATGGATCTGTTCTGTATGCGTCAAATTCCTGTAAATCGGCCAGCCACTGACCTGCATCGGTATCGCTGCCGCTGTGTTCCCGGAAGTCCGGACCCTTGATCGCCGATACGAGATCCTCACACGCTGCCGTTGAGGCATCAGGGAAAGATGGGCAGATCAGCGGAACATCCAAGTCTGCAAGAAGCCGGAATAGTTCCAGCTCGGTAGCCTGAAAGCAGGGAGTAGGACACCCTTTGCAATCCAACCAACGCAGGGAAGAACTCGATGACAAGCTCTAGACTCTTCGCCCCCTGGTGCCGGAGCGAAATATTAACGGCGTCGAAAACCGGACCGCTCTGCTAAATGCTTGAATGGACCTGGGGTGCAATCCTCCGACATGCCCGCTAGGGGGCAAGATGCGCTTGCTGCAATCCAGTGGCGGCTTTCATGGGCTTGATGTCATGCTGGAAACCTGAGGATGTCTGGCACTATGATCTTTGCGCTCGAAGTCTGGCTAGGAAGTGTGTCCAAACAAAGCACGAGGAGCATGCATCCTCAAGTCTCTCCCTGCTGGGCAAGCAGACGCGCTGAGCTAGGGCACGCCCCTTCAGCGAGATGCTGACCTGAAGGCTTCGAAGTGCTCGTGCGAGCGCTACAAATCTGTCAGAGGTCCCCACCCAGCCCTCCTCCGGACCGAAGCCGGCCAGCAGTCTGTAGTGCAAGCGCCCAACTTGCAGCTGCAGCTCCTGGATACGCCGAGGCCGTTGGCCCACAATGGCCCACGTGAGTCGGTTGGACATGGGTTGGCTCCTTGTTTGAAACGCGCCCTTTTTTGGTGCGAGCGAGTTTTTCGCAGTTGATTTTCCAGGTAGGCTGGGTTGCAACAGTGGGGTAAGCTGGGTTGCAAGTGTCGGGGAACACTGATGTGTCCCATCCTTTCCGCTTTGCTTGCGACCCTAAGAATGGACTCGTGCGACGATACAAGTTTCAGCATTGTTTGCACCATGCGTCCTAGAACATCCAGAGCCCCGCCCCCCAACTTAAATGTTGACATAGAGGCGACCGGTGACGTGTGCCCCGTACTGCGACGTGACACTGACAAGCAGCATCCACATGCGAAACAACGTTCTGACGAAAACCAACGTTGAGTATGGGGGGTAGGCCTTCATGCGACAATACCCAGAATCCACGGTACGGAGCGTCCATCTTCGAACGAAGTACACCCGACGTTCACATACCTGGCCAGGCTTGCTGTTCGATGCGCATTTCCTGGCCGAAGAACCCCCAGACCCAGCTAAACGGAGCCTGCATGTGTTGCCCCACTACACACCCGAGATGCACTGACCGAAAGTAGAGGAAGCGTGCCAGGCTCGGCTCGCATGACTTACTCAGTGTGGACGCCGAAAGATGTGTATCTCCTCACAGCAATGCGATTTGAATGCTCCCTGCATGGCAAAGGCACACATCATCACGGACGTCTGCAGGCCGAAACTGGTGCGATCTTGCCAATTTCCATAAGCGTCCCTCGCAACAACCACATATTCACGGACGTCCGGAGGCCGAAACTAGTGCGATCACGGCCATTTCCAAGTCCTGATCTTCTGATTCCTTGGCAAAACCATATGATCACGGACACTGTTATTTCTCGTCAAGAAACTCTTTGATCAAAGTAGATTCTTTGGGAAAATAGCAGAAGCCCGTGATCATATGGTCTTTCTCAAGCAGACCCGAGATCTGGCTCTGGAATTCGCGTGATCACACGAGTTTCGGCCTGCAGACATCCGTGATCATGTGGTTTTTGCTTGGGATGTTTTTTTTGTTTTTGCGCCATTTGCACTAGTTTTGGCCTCCGGACGTCTCTGATCACGTGGTTTTTGCGAGAGATGCTTGTGGAAATTGCCGGCGCCACCGTCACACCATAGTACAGTTTCGGCCAGAGACGCAAACAAGCCGCGAGCAGAAATGCGACAGCGACATTTTCCTAGTACAGCGGGGTCTGTAGATCCTCCCCTAAGCCCTGCGTGGCTGATCTTGCCCGAAACCTTCGCACTACCAAGGCTCCCCTAGACCTGTAAATAGACTCCCCTGCAGTCTTCTGTGCAGGCTCCTCCAAACGTTTGCTTGCAGAACTTCCCCAAATCCTGCCGCGCAGATCCCCCCCTAAACTCTGCCTTGCAGATCTGATAAAAAACCTCGGCCCTTCACAAACGCCCCCCTATCATCTTTCTTGCATGCTCCTCCAAAAACTTCTTTGCAGACTCTCACCCGAATCCTGCTTGCAAATCCTCCCCTAAACTCTTTTGCAACTGGCCTGCTGCACATCCGCCAGGACAAACACTTGACCCCTAAACTCTTCCTTGCAGATCCTTCCCTACACCCCCTTTTGCAATCCTCCCCTAAACCCTGCCTCGCAAATCACTCCCTAATGCCTCTTGCTGCAGATATTCCCCTAACTCTTCTTTGCGGGCTTTTGCATCTGCAGCAAAAGTATCTGCACAATTTGGGCACATTTGGGGTGCCCTGCAAGGCCTCCCAAGCCTCAGCCCTGCAGATAATGCCACCCAAGTTTCCGCCTGGCATAGAGCCCAAACAGTGCCCAAATAATGCCCGAAGTAGGAGCCATTTTCAACGCCTGGAAATCACGAAAAACAGAGGGCACATGAGAGTTCCTGCACAGTTGCAGCCGTTGTCCTGACAAAGCACAAGCCCAACACCCACTGCTCACCATTCAACGAAGCATTTGGGTTGATTTTAAACGCGCAGTCGAGCCGCATTGCATGATGTAAACACGGGTCGCTGCACTGCAAATCGAATAAAACTCTGGTGAGCGCTAAGCGCGTCTCCTCGGCAAAATTCGCGCAGCTTTTGAACGTCTTTTGCCCCCATTTCAAGGCCAGGAATTGACTCCAAAACTGCCTCAAAAAGGTCCCCCATCGCAAACAAGCAATGTTGAACTGCTTCATCTGACTTAGCTTCTTAGCTCCGTTTCCATCCAGTCTCAACAATGACAAGCAAGCCTGCCACCTGACCAACCCAAGGCACAAAATCATTGTGCATCGCACGGCGGCAATCCCGAAAAATCTTAGCCTCATGAGCCGCTCCCCGTATGCAAACACTCATACAGACTCATACATATCCCGGCATTAGATCCTGGATCAGGGCGCCGGTCGCCAGGCGTTGCTGCATCTGGATAACAGTCAGGACATCACACTCCAGAAAGACTAGTCCACAAGCCTGAAGACCTTGTGATCTGATGACACGCCTGCCTCGCAAGAATCCAGGACGCGGCCTTCCCGAACCAGGAGACCACCTTTTCCATAGCCTCCGACCGACTCCGACCCTTCGGAGTTTGCCGAGTCGGCTGCATGCTCGGGACTTATGCATTGGGTTCCTCGGCGCCTCCTGTGACCTGCCAAAGTGCCATCTGCGACATCGGCCCAGCCCGATGCCATCATGGCGCGAGAATGAGGCAGCACAAGGCTTGCTTTGCCACTCCAAGGACGAACCGAACATTCAGAAACTTCGTGCTGCTCGCCTATAGAGACGTCGACCTACGCAATGCAAAAAACTTGAAGAACTCTGCGACGGCCCTGCAAGTACTTGATTCTCCAACATTGCAGCCGAACATCTCTACGCTTCACTGGCTCAATCGGATGCATGGCAAACTTCACAGTACACTTGAGTGGCTCAACTGGGATCGTGACAAACTCCTGCGCGTTGGTCTCCCGGTCCAAGGTGCCATAGTCGACTTCCAAATGCGGAGCCGTGTCCGCTGGCGTGCCTCGATGCGCAGACCCTTCGCTGGCCAAGCGTCCAACTTGCCCATCATCACCCTTGCAGCCGGCGTACAAGGGCGTTCGCCATGACAAGGACCTGTCCAAATTTGGATCGCAAGGTGGGAGCTCGGAAGATCTCTCAAGGCTGTGCTTCTGAAGCGCCTGGAAACGAGGCCGCAAAGCCACCTAAACTCAGATCGCACAGCACGGATCCCGCAGGGCACCATGTACGGCTGATCCGCAAACTTTGACGCTTACAGTAAGGCCTTCACGCTGGGAAGCGGGAGGCCTCGGCCGGAAGGGGGCCTCCAAGAAGGGCTCACTCTTTCGGCTTTCGGCATCGATGCAGCTGCATCAATCATGCCCAGGACATGTACTCAGTGGCAATACTCCAAATCTGAATGCTGCGGCCACGGACTTTCTGTGCCAACTTTCACTCACAAGAGCATGCTTTCGAAAGCTTTTGGCGCGCACAGGGCAGTCTGGGTTAAGAGCTGTGTGGCTCCCTTGTCTCTCTGAGAAAGCGGGAGCCGCTATGATCCGGGCTCCGTGCCACATGCCAGGGAGCTGTTACTGTGCTGGAATTGACACATGTAAATCTACGAGATAAATGTAGATGTGTGTTAAAGAATCGTGTATATGTGCGTATAGGTTGCTATGCCAAAAACTATGAATGCTTGATTGACAAGGGCCTTGGATCCCGAAGGCGGACCCGACTCCGACGCGTGCCACCGTCGGTGGTGGCAATGCTTACACTCTAAACTCCCCCGTGTAAGAGCAATGTCTCGTCTCATTTCGATCGAGACTGCTACTCAGCTCTTGCAGAAGCCTTCAAGCTCACGAGGTCATCCAGCTGGCTGCGAATCCAATGCAAGCCACGAAAGCTCTTGGACAGGTAAGAGGCTGCAGTTCGCCCCAACCGTCGCAGGCGACTTGCTTGGAAACCAAACAAGATCATGAACTCCGATCCTGCTAAGCTGTGTTCGTCAGGCTGCGCGCCCGCACCATTTCAGCCAACTGCAAGCTGAACATGGCTGAACTATCCCCGTAGATCTCCCGGCTCACTTCGCCACTGCCGGCGCTCCCGGCGCTCCAGCTGCGGCCTTCGTGCTCTTCCAGTTCCTGCCCAAAGCTCGAAGAAGGAAGCGTGGGCACTTGGAATCTCCCAAAAGTGCAAGGCTCTTCCATGCCTATACATCATGAAAGCAGCGCCCCAGATGATCGGATTCCCGGAGACCTGACACTCGGTGCCAGGTCCCAAATGTCCGGTCCGCTGTCCCTGCATGTGAGAACCGTGCCAGCAACAAGCCGCCACCTGCGATGTATCCCACCTGTGAAGGCTGGCATCTCTCGTTGTAATCGCGGTGGCAGCTAGCAATCAGTGCGGCAGCGTCGACTACTACCATAGGGAAGTACTGCAGTAAGTAGTACATACTATGACAATAAATCGTCATAGCGGTCGTCGTCGGCATCGTACTCTTGATCGTCGTCGATATCGTCGCCATCGGAGTACACGAAGTGGTGCTGTTATCAACATCACAAAGCGGCAAAACATACGGACTGTCAGCTCAGCACGGAGCAGTCTGAAGCAGTGGGATGAAGTCCTTCCAGGTGACCGCCTGGCGTATGCACCACGCTGGAAACACCCTTCGTTCTCTAATTGCCTTTCTTCTTCAGCTGTGCTAAATTAGACTGAGACATGGAACTGGCACATGCCCTAGGAAGTGGTGATTGGAAAGACACCTTTGCTTCTTCCAGCTGTGCCGCCATGATGTGAGGAGCAAAGACGGCGACCTCAGCTCAGAACCCCGTGCTTGCCGGGCAGCATTCCTAAGGCCGAGATGGAAAGCTCAACACGCTTGCACCTGTTTTGCTCGGTTTGCTCGGTACGATGGAGCCCCTTCAGGGCACCGGTGTGCAAAGAAATGACCACTACCACATGCGCTCTTGTGCGAGGTTGGGGGTGTCATCTCACCCCGGTCGCTCGCGACACGGCTGCGAATTCCATCTATGGGCATTCTGTAGAGCCAGGACGAAATGTACCAAGGGTAAGGGGTGTTCTGCAAACTCATGGTCTCAATGGCATCAGGAGGTCGCAAGGCAGGCTTACAACTATTCTTCGGCCCTCGTCGCGCTGCACTCTGCAGCAGTGAGGAATCTGGAACATGTGCTTTGTTTAAAGCAACTACGTATGGCATGCCACCCTATCTATCAAAGTGTCCCAATCCACTCGAGCAAACTGTCCTGAAGAACATATATGGCTAAGGCTAGCGAATGCTAGCGACATAGTGGCAGCTCCCAAAGGGTGGAGTTTCCCTGTCTGCACTTTCCGTGCAACCTATGCAAGATTATTTTTCTGCCCCAGCCCGCTCATGCAACTTGGCAAGAGTGGCTGACAAAGGCTGGCAAACTCAGAGGCTCCAAGCGGTCCTAGCGGATGTACCCAGACAGAGGCCATCATCTGCACCGAGCAGACGTAAGTACTGGAATCGCCGTGATAGATAATGCCAAAACGAGAGTGCACAATAAACCCAGCTTGTTGGCTATATCCTGTGCCCGGAGAAATCACAGCGCAACTGCATTATCTGCACTCAGGCATGGTGCCCAACTCAATGCTGAAGCTGGGGGCGGTGTTCTACGGTACCAGTAACTTGGAAGACTCCAAATCAACATGTCATGCTCTAGGGGCCATGCCTAAATGGATCTTGTTTGGCTTTGTGCGGTGGCAAGTGCACTCCGTGCACAGCCAAATGGAAAATGCGTTTTGCGGTGCGGCTGGTAAGCTCGTTTTCGCTCCTGATCATCATTCAAACCCGGCTGTGCTTTGCCCTTGGTTCCACGAGTTTTTCAGGCCTGTGCCGTGGAGGCGGCGAGCAGCAGCGCTGTGCGAGGGAGAACTGATTACCATCCGTATTCTGTGAAGGGCCACGGACGATTGGCATCGCAGCCTCCACAGAGAGGGCAGTTTCCACATGTCCAGCATTGGCATTCTGTCCCTGAGCCATTCTCTCCAAGTAGGACGCCGTCTCTCGCAAGCTCCTGATGTGCGCGTGCAATGCAGCGCTGTCTCCTGAGAAAGGCAGGTAGACGGCCGCCTCCGCCTTGCCCGTGGTGTCAACTTGTTCGGTTTGGGTAGCTGCAGATTTTGCGAACGACATGACGCTCGACTGGCTGTCAGTCATCCTGACGGAGGTTCCCCCCACTGCGACGGCCTTCTTGAGCTCATATCGAACTTTGTCCACCTTCTCCTCCAAGTTTCCCACGACATGTTTCATGTCCTTCATCTGGCTTCTGAGGAACAGCAAGCTTAGAGTGGTGTCCTGGGACCTGAGCTGGCCAAATCCGTCCCCTTACTCTTAGATGCCTAACGTAGTGAAAAGCTCTGAAACCAAGAGCCGTCTCACGCGCAAAACTCAGCAGATCAACCCTCTTTCGACTCTTCCGTTCTTCAATCCTATGGCCTCATCTTGACCACCTGCTCGACAAACTCGCTGTACTGAATGTCTCCGGAGCCGTCCTCGTCCAGGACCCGAAACAAAGACTGCATATCCTCCCTCTCCACATCCATCAGACGCATCTGCTCTTGGAACTCCGGCAAGTTGTCGTAGCCCTCCAGCAGCTCGTCGAAAGAGAGGGAGCCACTCTTGTCCTCATCCAGCAGCTCACATAAGTACAGAAGACTTCGCTTAGCACCCTCGAAAGCAGCCTGCCGCTGCGTCAGTTGGAATTTGACGTCTTCCTGCTGTGCTTGGTGTGCTTTATCCACGATGACGGAAAGGATGAGGTTGAGAAGCCCCAAATCAATAGTTATGAAGACCATGGCGAAGTAGGGAGCTGTTAAAGGATATTCTTCCATGATTGGAATTGTTATTCTTCCCCATGAATCTCCAGCAACAATTTGCTGCCAAAACGTAAGAGCCGCCATCCACACCGTCTGGAAAGCACGATGGCACCGCTCACAGTCGCCATACACTCCACGTTCATGTAATATCTGGGCGAAGGGATGCACCATCTCTACCGCCATAATGCCCAGAATCAGCAGCATTAAAAGCCTCAATCGCGAGTGCGTGGTGCGTTAACAGTGGGGCACGTTCAAGTTTCGAGAGAAACAAACTGTAACACACTGATGTTGAAAGCTAAACTCACAAGCACGCAGGAATACAGGAAGAGCGGCAGCAGAACAGCAGCCCAGCCAATGGCCTTCAAGGCATTGAGAAAGCCGTAAAGCATAATGTAGAGCTCGCGGAATAAGTGAAGCGTACGGATACTTCGCAGAACCCGAAGGGCTCGAATGACCCGCAAAGCCTTGAAAACATCCGAGGTCTGAATGTCAGCTGCTGTCCAGTTGATGATCTGCAGCGTCCAGTCGGCTGACAGGATGAATGTGTCTAGCAAATTCCAATAGGATCTCCAGAAGTCAAGTCGGAAAGCGTAGAGTCTAAGCAAACCCTCCAGAGTATAGAGAATAAGGAAGATCACATTGGCAGCTTCTATGGCAAAGTCTGGCTCCATGCCCAGGCCCGATTGGTTTGTCTGGTGCACAATAAGGCCGATGTTGACCAAGACCACGATCCCAATGAACATATCGAAGAAGCCACTGGACATGACCGTGGCTATGCATCTTCGGCTCCTGGACCAATCTTTCGGAAAGGAAGCGAGCTGGGAGATGCTGCCCGGCACATCACCACGTGACACAGCACCTTCCAGTCCACTCCGGCTCTGGTCCAAAGCCGGCGGCAGGGCGGGGTTGTCCGCTCCCAGCCCGAAGGATTGTTGTCTGTGCACCTCTGGCGATGACTGGAGTTGCGCATTTTCTGCCTTGACCATGTCCTTTCGGGATGTGGTCGCATCGGCTCGGATTAGGCTTGAGCCCCTTGCATGGTACAGGTTCCAAAATGCACAGCGTATGAATCTTCTAGCTATCTGCACCAGCCCCTCATCTCCCCCCACAGCGATCTAAGACTCTAGGCGTCTACACGGGCTGCACAGGCTCCGAGCGGCTTTGAACTTGGCGCGGGGCCATGAGACGATCCCACACAAAGGTCCCCACAAGCGAAAGCAGAAGGCAGAAAATGACCTTCCGAGGCGTAAAAAGTTTACAGACCCCACTGGTCACTGGTCAGCATCTCACCTTCATCCGCAGCTCTTCAGGGACCACTTCGAGGTTCAAGAGGTCATTGAGCCAGGGCAAGATCCCCCAGGCACAGACAGCGACCTGCCACGGCGCTGCTGTCCGAACCGGGGAGAGGGCTTCTTGCTGGCTTCTTCTCTGGAGGCTGCGGTTACACACCTTGAGAGGCTGGGGTCCACAGGGTCAATCATGTTGCCGCATAACTTCGAGGCAAGCTCCCTGAACGCATGTAGGGGCTGGGAGGGCAAGAGTGATGATAGAGTGTTACTGGTATGAAACACGGAAGTTGAGTGCCGGCAAGAGCTTCTCAGGAAAGCCCACTGCTCTTGTTCAGTGTGGGCAAGACAGGGCAAGCACTCCCATCTCCAGTAAGGCCAGCACCATGGCAATACACGAGAAGAGCGACAAGAAAAGCCTCAGAAGGCCATTGGCATTATGCTTCTACGACTCTACGAAACACGCCCGTCTCATGTTCCGGGCGCAAGTGACGTTTAAGAAACCGTTACGAAAAATTGCCGCTGTCTCTGCCAATCTCGTGCACGTTTGTGGAAGCCACCGGGCCTAAAGCAGATAGGTGTTAGTAGGTGCCAGGTCACACAGAGTGGCAGACCACTGCACAAGGCACCCTCACCCCTGGAGATATTTGTCACCTGATGTGCACGGCTTCACCATCTCAATGCCGGCATGCGACGGCTGGTTCTCCAGGAGCCCCCTCATCCAAGGCCTGCCTCGGTTCGTGGATGCATGACACGACGAGGAAGCACTGGCCTGATAAACAAGAATATCCAAATACAGATCAGGTGCCCTTGTAGTTCACGAAAATAACGGACACCTGCAAGCATCTGCAAACATTGACACGCATTTAAGCAGCAAACTGCACAACAACTCAACTTGACTCAACACAATAGTGCATGTCCGGAACAGGCATGCCATGGGTAAGAGTGTTTTTTGTTTGCTGTCGTTGCGGAAGCGCTTTTTTTGCTGTCGTCTTCGGGGCGCATTTTTGTTGTTTTTGCTGTTGTTTCGGGGGCGCGTTGTTTTGCTTGCTGTCGTCCCGGGGCGCGTTGTTTGTGCGTTTTATTTTTTTTGCTGTCGTTGCGGTCCCCGGCACGGTGTTTTGGCTGTCGTTGCGTCCCCGGCTTTTTTTTTGCTGTCGTTGCGCTTCCCGGCAAT